TCGAGATGTAGATATCATTTCTATAATTGTCTTATCTGCAAGTATTATTCTGTTCAGCATTTTCTTGACTTAGCCATTGGAAAAGTAAATGACTATGTCTCATTAGAGTATCTATATATAACGGAGTTCCCAAAGAATGAAATATCCCTAAAAACAACTAGTTCAGTTTTTGGATTGCTAGATTCAGAGGGGAGGGAAGAAAGAAGAAATTTGTCATTTCACAGTATTTGCTTTCTCTTCTGCTATCTTTGATTTTCTTATAGGAAAATACAACATGGCAAAAAAAAAAAAATTAAGGGGGTTGGAGGAGGGCTTCACCTGATGTTGGCTGCAAGATCTTGGGACCAGAACCTTCTTAGCATTTTATAGTCAAGAGCTAGTTACATTTTTGTTCCTCCAAAGGAATTCTAAAAGGCAGCTTGTTTCATGAGTCTCAAGAGGACAACAATTACATAACCCTCACAACTAACAACTGCCATTTCCCAAACTGCCACAGAATCTTCTAAGTCTAACATTCTGTTATTTGGGGGAAAGGTTTATCTTAAAAAAACATTCCTCTTGATTTCTCTGAGTAGGCAAACCATTCTTCGAGAAACCACTATTTATTTCCATTGCTTTTTGTTCGTTAGTGCCTGGAGCAAAGGCACTGGTGGAAACAGAAGGCCAGGTCCGGAGAGAGCCAGAAGAAAAATCCAGGGTTATAACCTGGACTTCTATGTGGATGGGTAGTAGCCTGATCCTCATAAACCTGTATAACCATCCATAGGTTTCTACCAGCCCCCACACTTAACATGGTGTTATTTGATTACACCCTGGAAGAGACTTTCTTCTCTGACTGATGTTTTAGTGTACTAGCATGCAACTAAGATGAAAGATACAGTGTGGTGACCAACACAAAATATTTACAGAATTTGGGGGCTATCCCCATCTGCAGAGGCAAATTTCACATCTCTATTACTAGGAATGAAAGAAAACTCACATGGTATGGTCATAGCTTTCCCTGGAAGACAAGAATAAATTTTACAACAGGAAACACATGAATAAGGAAAAACGGGTGGGAGAGAGAAAGAAAAAGAAAAGAAAATAAGAGAGAGAAAGAGATTAGAGCCCCAGATATTTAAAGACTGCCAAAATATATAGATTTATTTACTGTTCTTTGCGATGACAAAAAATAAAACAAAAAATCTCCTTTTAGTTTGACCTGTTTTTGCTATTTATTAGAATGTCCTTGTTCATGATATACTTCAAGAGGTAAAAACATTACTTCCTTCTTTTCCAAACGTAAAACATGGATTTTTCACAATGGCTTTAATCAGGGAATTACATATAATCATGCAATAGTGATGTGTGGTAACAGTATTTGGAAATAATACAATGCAGCTAAAACTTCATTGGTGGAGAAGGAGTTTACCTAGACCTAAAAACTAGTAACATATATTGCTTAGAGTTTTTTTTCCAGAAAACTATGTGCCTAAGATGGATACTTTATTATAGAGTTAGTAGGTCAAATTAAAAGACAAGGTATTACATTTTTCCATAAATTTCTACTAATATACTAAAGGGTTCAGTCAAATATTCATTCTCTACTTTTTTGTTTCTTTTTAATACTTCCTACTTCATTCTATTCTCTTATTTATAGTTATAAACAAACAACTTTTTTCTAAATATTAGTTTTTTTGTTTTATTTCCTAGATTTTTACCCCAAAGCAGTGTATTCAACAAGTTCATACCAAGTTAGTCTGTTTTACTTAGACAAAAATGGGAATCCATATCTCTTGATCTTTTAAGTTTTTAATTAAGAGTACATTGCAATTTCACAGTCCATTTTGATCTAGTGCAATCTGTCATTTCTATGACATCTTCTAAGTCACCTACTGTGAATATTTTTGTTAATTTCTGCTAGGTTCCAGCACTTTTAGTAAAGATACTAAGATGAAGAAAGATATCCACTGCTGATTGAAATGTCTCATTCTGGAAATCAGAGTACATCAGTTTGCTTTCAACAAATACCCAAAATTTGCCAGCACTCCGAAACCTTTCTGCTTTAGGAAGAAGCTCTTCCTCACTTTATGATGGATGAATAATGAATGGATGGAATATAGCTACAAGATGAATAAATAATTTAATTTGTTTTCAAGTTTCTATTAAAATATTGAAATCTGAATGATGTTTTTTTCCAAATCAGTGGATAGCTGTGAGTACATAATTAATAATTTTTTATCTTGAAACATAGATTATATATTTACCTATTTAAATTTTTAATTTTGTTTTCAAATCATATGTAGAAATAAGGTTTAGAAAATAGCCATTTAACTGTGAAATACTTAATAATTTGAAGTTATGAAATTATGAACTAGTTTACATTCATATTCAATTAGAACATTGAAAGAAAATACTTCATTTTTACTAGTCATTTTTGGTTAATATACTATCATGATTAAAAGAAGTACTGTACAGTATTGACTAAGGTAAACTAACCTACAGTTACATGTGATGTCACTTATGATGAGCAAACAATGGATTTGGTAATAATGAGGAAAATTCTGGAAGTCTGAGTTTGTGTGCTTACTAGCAACCACTTACAACATTTCTGGAAAGCTAGAGAAGGTATCTTCTAATTTAAATTTCTTTAAGAATTACCTATTGTGTAATATACTGTCAACAGGAGGTCAGTTTTAAAGGAATACTACTGATAGCCTGAAAGACTGTGGAAAAGAAAGTCTTTTTCCCCCTTACACTCTGATAGTTCTTATATTTGTGTTTCTGCAATTTTTATTTAAAAACATTGGATTAGCGGCACAAGAGTTGAAAATGGCAGAAGTTGGGAATGACTGCTATTTCTTTTTTAATTCCACATGCATAAAGGTAAATATTATACAATTTATAGTACTTCACATGTTAAATCTTTTTAGAATGAAGCGCAATATGGCAATAATTTCTATTGCTGAATCAAAATTTACTCATTTTACATAAAATATGTATTTAAAATCAGAAGTAAAAACTTATCTTGTATTTTTGATATATTAAATGTCTCTGGAAAAATTTATGATTTCAAATATTTGTTTGAAATTACCCTTATTAATGCCAGTTACATGTCAATGATGTTTTTTCATCTTCATGTGGCACTTTTGCCTGTATTATGACTCTTTGAGATATCAAATTACTAATATGAAACATTATATATATGATATATCATTATGAAACATTTGATATATATGATATATCAAACTGTTTTGGTTAATGCAATTTCAGGCACATGAATTCAAATAAACCCAGGTCATTATCAAACTTAGTTTAAAATCAGATTGATTTCTTATTTGAAATTCATTAGCCCAGGTTATGAATTTTCATCTGTCAAAAATCTGAGTAACAACAAACATTTAATATCATAGAAAAATGAAAAGGAGTAATATAAACAAGTTAGCCAGATATGAATTAGGTTTATAAAGTTAAATGGAAACTTTATAAACTTTATAAAGGAAAAAAATTTTAATCCAAGAGATTAGGATTAATGGATCATGATGAAACCAAATAAATGTAGAAACTCAGTGTATGAAGTTTCATGTTAATGTCAGAATGAACCCAGTAAAAGACAGGACATGTCTAGTTCAAGGTATTTCATCTTTGCTAGGAAACCTAAATGGAATCAACCTCTTTAATCATTAGAATTAGATTTACTTCCATTGCCTATTACCTTATAGTTAGTTAAACCTTAGGATGAAAAATAATAATAGGAATTTATGTGCTATGTGGGCAGAGAGTTTTGTCTGTTTCATTGCTAGTATCTGCACATACTTAGCACCGTGACTGATAGGGTAGAAAGTTCAATAAGTAATTAAATAAATAAACAAATGCAGTCAGGATACTGTATCTCACATAATTTTCACCACTATCTGTGAAGAGGTCCCTTTTTATTATTCCCCTTTTGCCTATAATGAAACTGAGGCCTCATGGTGGGGAGTAACATACTGACTGTGACTGTGGACCAGCGATTGAGCCAGTAGTTCAAACACTGGTTTTCTAGCCTCTTCACACTACCTTGAACTATGAGTACCTTGTACTGTTTTAAAAGATCTACTTTTCAAATGGGTGTGGAGACAGGAATAAGTGTGTGGTTAAAGATAAGAAACAATCACGGGACATGTGTCAAAATAGGGAAGACCTTAATGATCTGTTTTTATTGTATGTTACCTACCTCTCTGCCTGAAAAACCTACAGTTTTTCCACTCTGAATCCATGTGTAAAAGACAAAAAATAAAAAAAGTTATAGCAGCCCATTAAAATAATCCACATCTGCTTTTGCTTTTGTTGGTATAAAGATATTGGTGTGTATGTTTTGGCACAATTGTTTCATTTTTGTAGACCAAGGGCATAAAGCACATTTAATGTAACATAATGTGATAATTACTTAAAATGTCATAATAATCCAAAATTTAAGCTCCATTCACTTTCCTTATATAAACACATTATCTTTTTAGACTAATAAAACATTATTTAATAAAAAAGATTAAGTAACACAGATCATCTCCACAAGTAGAATATAACTTGGAAAAAATATCTGGCTTCTGAAAGGAAGTTTGTCTGTCATTGGCTTGTGATAAAAGATATCACTGGTCTCATATATTTATTCTGAGTGAACCATATGGATTAAATGATTATAAAAATAACATTTGATCAATGACTTGTGACAGGAAGTATTTAATTAGATTATATTGTAAATCTCTCACAAAAATATACTAATTTGTTAAATTTTAAACATGTGGCCTTATATTTGTAGTATTTTTAAATTCTAATTTGATCTCATATTTTCTTTAATTAGTTAGCAACTTATTGTTGTTGAACATTAATGTTAACGTATTGAGTGTTCTACGCTGTTTACTTCTTTCTTTCAGGGTTCCCAGTGCCGATTCCGACACTGTAAAAAGGCCCTCGGCAGTGACACTGTGTGCTCATTATGGAGAGAGGGCAAATGTTTAGATCCACTTTGCAGATTTAGACACATGGAAATGCAGGTAGAATGACTTAACATCATTATGTTTGTTAAAATGGTCTCCCTTCAGTAACATTGAACTATTATAAAACAGAGAAAACATTTTTTCTACTCCTTAATTTTGGGCATTTTGCACTTGGCTCAATTTAAAATCTTAGGAAAATGGAATGTTTTAGGAATAATCATTGCATCTTTTAAATAGCAAAGCTTAAAAGCATCGAAAACCAGGAAACACACAGAATCCTGAATCACTAATTACTGTAGATTTTTTCACTTTGTGTTGTGTTGTAGCACATAGTATTTATTATGACATCTGATTACATGTCTCCCACTTCCCTTGTTTAGCAAAATTGCAGTATTTCATGCTTCTGGGAAACTCAACCTCTCGGTTGTGTGAAGATCAGTTGTATCTTTTATCACAGCAAACCTCGAAATATCAATGGATTATTTTTGCCACCAAGTAGCAGTGAGTATATTTTGAATAACATGAACATACCATATTATAATCTGATTTTGGAGTAGCAGCGTAGAATAACACATTAAGCAAAGTGTGGCATGGTGAGTAATATGGATTAATATGGTTTAATAGGCAATGGATGACTTGGGAGGATTCTATCAAGAATCATGAGATAAAATTTAGAATGAGCCATCTAGTAGCTAACAAGATAAAGTGAACAAAGAGCAAGTTAGACTTTCTCTAACTCTGTGTATCGACAGTGGATTTTACTCACCAGAGTAGTAGGATGACTATTAACCTCACTAGGTAGAAGGAAACTGTGTACCTGGAAAACATCACACAACTGGGGCCAAGCTCGAGGTCATAGCCTCGCTGTTTTCCCTTTGAATGTGCAGAAACTGACCTCATAAGTAGGGACAGCAGTGGCACTGTTTTGCACACTTCTGTTTCCAGAAGAGCAGCTACATGTGGGGTTCTTCCTAAGATTAAAGTGGTAGAGAAAATGTGATCCCACTCCTACAAAACTATGACACAATTCAATCCAACTAAATGATACTGAGAGTCAACTATGTGCTTGAACTTCACACTACATTTGGGGGTTTGGGGAAGATTCAGAAGACACCAAAGACTAAAACAGTGAATGTCAAGAACCTTGCTTAAGAAATTAAGGGGTGTCAGGTTTCCCTGATGTTGTAGTCATTTCACTCTCCTGCTATGGAATATTTTTTGTGATGGAATAGTAGTTCCAGAAATAAGCCTACAGGATGTCAGACCTTGTGATTTGAAAATTTGGCTTCAGCTAATCCTTGGCAAATGGAAAACTAAGAATTAGTTCCCCTTATTGTATTCTTCTGGAAAATTCTGACCTTATAATATTCATCACATATATAATAGCTTGATCGGTGTTTTTCTTCCTCACTAAACTGTAAACATTATAAGAATGGAGATCATGACTAGTTCCCTTACAAATGCTTTGCACAGTATCTTGGAGTTCAGTTGCTCAGTAAAATTGGATGTATAGAGAGATGAATGAGAGATGACTACTGAAATGAAATCTACTGGCATGAAAGTTTTGCACCTACTAAATGATTAACCCCATTTGCATACATTTAGCATGATTTTTTTCATGATGAACATTTTACTAAATTCTTTATATCTAGTATATATCTAGTTTGCTTCCTCATGGTCATGGATAAATTACTGTCTGTCAAACCCACTCGTTCAGGATAGCAGGAAACAAAGGCTGTGTGGCTGGATAAAGAAAGGGTAGAATGTGTAACAGACAATTATTTGGATACCAATTATAAGACATTGTCTGGGCTAAGTTTTGTAGGGATACATGTTATTATGTCATCCACTAAACAGACAATAATGGGGTCTAATATAACATGGCTTTTCTAGAATTCTCGATTTCATCAACAAGTGTCTGGCTGAGCCTGACTCTTCTAGTAAGCTTTTCCTCTCTTAGTGCAGTATAAGCCAGATTCAGACACTGGGACCAAACCCTCCCCCTTGGCACTCTGCCTGCATTGTGAAAGGGAATAAGCTGTGTTCATAGGATGCTAATTCCCCACTTCCTCAGGCCTCCTTTCTTCTCTCTAACAGGGACAACAGAGAGCCACACACTCATTTTACCCTCCAACATGGCCTTGTCATGTCCACTTCTCTGTTTTGAATTCACGAGAATTTATTCCATTCTGCCTTTATTCCTCTTTATGTCAGTTTGTACAGTAAAACAAAATGTTCCTTTGTGTTTCTCTTTTACTCTTACCAGATGGGTGTCCTCCAATTCAATTTTATATTCTGACATTTGGAAAAGACCCCACAGGCCTTAACAAGCTAAATCCCAAATGACCGCCCCTTCGTTAGATATCAATTCCAAGTTCCTCACAACTAACTTGGCTATAATTTGAGGTTCCAGTAATTTCTCTCATCGAATTGAATCACTTGCTAGAATGGCTCACAGAACTCAGAAACCCTTACTTATGTTTTCCAGTTTATTATATAATAAGGATATCATAAAGGGTACAGTTGAACAGTCATGGGAAGAGATACATAAGGCAAGGTCTGGAAGGGCTGGAGCACAGGAACTTCTGTTCCTGTGGGTTTGGGGTGTGCCACCTTCCTGGTACGTGGGTATGTGCACCAACCTAGAAGTCCTCTGAATTTTGTACTTTGGGGATTTTTATGGAGGCTTAAAGGACTCTGCTTGATCTGGTGCTCTGTGGGGTTCTTCCTAATGAAGAAGAGTTTATCTCCCAAATTTTTCTACTTGCTCATTCAGCTCCAGCCACACCAGTTTCCTTGCTTTTCCCAGGGCATGTTAGCACGCTCCTGCTTTAGGGTTCTTACATGAAATACACTTCTCTCAATATCTTCATGGCTAATTCCTTTACCTCTTCTTTTAACGAAGTGTTTTCTGAACACTCTTTTGAAATGTAATCAGCCTTCGAGCTCACTTCCTACACATTTCTTATCTTCCTGGCCTTTCTGCACCTTCTTTTTGCCATATCCCTTATAATTTTCTTAGATATAATATAATTTCTTTGTTTTCTATACTTATTGCTCATTGTCTGACCTGTCTCTTTAGAAAGAATGTTCCATAAGAGCAGGAATCTATCTTTGGTTCACTGATGAATCCCAAGCACCTAAACTAGTTTTATCTTTCACATAGTAGCCAATTATACCCTAGAAAGTTTTGAACAGTATGTACAGAGGTTGGCAAAAATAGATTTGCAGTTGTGAATCTGCAAGACACAGAGTTTATTCTTATTTTATTATTTATTAAATTATCGTAGTATTTATTTCTGTATACTTACTTTTGCCTCTCCGTGTATTTGTGTTAAGCAGACAACTTTTTCCCTCTGTCCAGTCACATCTCTGTGCTCCAGGATAGCATATTCCGCTTCTAGACTGTAGGAATTACCAAGTTCAGTTAAATTATATGTTGAACTACCATGTCACCTATTCACTTTGGAAATATTTCAATACCTCAGAAATTCTAATTTGATCTTTTGTAGACCTAATATTTCCTACAATATTTCCAGGAACACCTATCCACCAAGGTCCATGTCAACCAAAACTGGGCCCATGAATTTTCTCACCTTAGACAAAGATTACTGTATAAAATGGTACATTTATCCAAGTCTTCCTTTTTATGTTTTAATAAGTGCATGTGATTGAGAAATTCAGGTGGGATTATGACAATTCTTTGGTAGCAAACTATATATTAAACTACAGCTATCGATTCACATTGCATTGTGCAATGTATGAGTAATTTTGTCAGGTTAAGATAAGATAAAATTTAATCATTAAAAAGTGTAGCCTATGATAATTTCTGAGGGCTCTGATCGAGGCATTAAGACCTATCCTACGGTTCGTGTTAAGTGGGTGAGTCCGACCACAGCAATGCTATCTCAGTGGCCAGGTCTGCTCTTCCTGAAGGAGACGCTTGCCAAAAGCGATTTTTCTTTGGTTAGTTTGCCGTTGTACATTATCTTTAAACACTAACTGCAGTTATCAAGAGACCTACCTTTTTCTTGGTCTGAGGATATAAAAATTTTTCAGTTTAAACTTTAATCTGCTAGAAAATTAAAAAAAAAGATTTTGGATTCTTTTAAAAGAGACTTCACTTAAATGTTGGTAAACCAGACATTTTAGAAATAAACCAGATATTTTAGAAATTAGGATCACTCTGGTTATCTCCATGTTTAAAAGCAAAGAGTTACTAAGCCAAATGATAGTGCTTGAGAATTACCAAGCTCAGTTAAATTATGTGAAGGAAACAGAAATCAGTTGATATTTGCTCTGATTATAAAAATTAGGTGGGCATTTCTGAGTACATTTTATATTTTCTTTGCAAGCATGGCAGATATTTTATCTTTCTCCCAGGATATACATTAGATATACTCAGATACAACTGTTTACTCAGAATAACTGTTCTTAATGAAACCCTAATTTTTGCTAGGAGAGAATTTGTTCAAAACACAGTAACTGACACATTGAAGCAATTTTTCTGTAATGAATCAGATATTTGATTCTCCTTATTCTACGTCCCTGACTTATAGAAGCCTTGGGTGACTATGTGGACACTTTAAATAAACTTTGCACCAGCTCATTTCAGAAGGTCTTGCCTAAGCAAATATGTATCCATGACCTTTTTATCCTAAGTCTTGAAAAACCATTGTCTAATACATGGCTTATAAATAGGTTAATAAACAATTTGATTTGAGTATATGCATCAGCAGAAGACTAATTTTTGGTGTGTGTGGGGGGGGAGATTAAGACAGAGTAAGACAATTAATTGTTAATGATTATAAGAGAGAAACATTGTTTAACTCACTTCTTTCCTCTTTGGGGGAGGAGAAGAGGTGTGAGTAAATGCAATAGCCCAAACAGTGTTGGCTTTTGAAACAATTTGTGTTTAAATGGGCGACTCTTCATCCTGACCGAACACTGTGTCTCTTCTAAAAGTGCAAAAAAGTAAAGGCAGGTACTCGAATATTAGTCCTCTACTCCTAACATTTGTTATGTCTGAAATCCCCACAAACTTGCTTTCTGGGACTCGAGTATTAACTGAAATTTTAATTACAATTTAAAAAAAATGAAATAGGGTTATCAGAAATGGGAAAATGTCATATTTAGTGTTTTCAAGAAATCTCTTATATTAAGCATTTTCTTTATATTATTAATATTATTATTTATTATTTTATAATATATTTTATTGATTATGCTATTACAGTTGTCCCCTTTTTTCTCCCCTTTACTCCCCTCTGCCCTGCACCCCCCTGCCCACCAGCATTCCCTCCCCTTAGATGATGTCCATAGATCGTACATGTAAATTCTTTGGCTTCTCCATTTCCCATGCTATTCTTAACCTCCCCCTGTCTATTATGTACCTACCATTTATGCTTCTTATTCCTTGTACCTTTCCCCCCCTTCTCCCCTTTCCCCCTCACGCTGATAATCCTCCATGTGATCTTTATTTCTATGAATCTGTTCCTGTTCTA